ACCGCACATTAAAAATATGACTATACTGCAGACCAAAGAACTCTGCAAATGTAATTTCCTATCTCCGGGAACTCTCTAATTTAATTGTATAATCTCTTTCATAAGATTATCAAGATCTATCTCAAAACTACCCTAATTGAAAGACTCTTACACAACTTCAATCCTTAGGTAGCTAGAAGCTTTCTTCTAATTTGACATCCAAATATATTCATGACCAACTTAAACAATTTGATCTTGTGCAGATGCTATATTTTATCTTATTTTTTGCTGCTTTCTTGCTATTTAGTACCAATTGTGTGTAAAAAACCCCTGTAACCTGTCTCTTCATTTGTTCAACTGGACAGAGCTAAACAAATGATGGTGTTTAACCTCATTTCATATAGCAGATGGTTTGTTTGTGTAACCACATCTTTAGCCCTCCTACTGTTGTAATTTAACATTTTCTTGACAGGGTGTCCGGAGCTATGCAAAATCCCAATGAACTACTCCATAAACGATGGAAAGCTCTTGCCTTGATGCTCTGCATGATGATTTGCACAATGATTGTATCACATTTCCCTGAATCTCTCAGACTATTTTCCTTTGGTATCCAAGGATGTCAGTGGTCTCCTTCACAGCTGTATGCCACTGCTTGCTCTCAGGTATCTCCTGAGCAGCCAGTGCATCCACATCTCTCCCTTCTGTCGTGGACAGGAGCTGATGAGCTCCTGTTTCACACTGGAAATTCTCGTTACTGGTCTCCATGCTTAAACTTTCGCACTCAGCACTATTAAATGTCATTTTATGTCTATCACTCCGATCAACAAAGTCATCTAAATTCCTTTCACATGATAATCTGATCCTCCTCCGTATTGACAATACCTCCCAAGTTTTTGTCATTCCACACAGCTCCTGGGCACACACCCAAGACCCTGTACACAGGTCAGAGTGGATCCTTTCAACAGGCCCAAGCCTCATCCCATGGGAGGAACACTACTAATCTCCCTCCATGCTGATGACTTTCTCTGAATACCTCTCTCCATCCAGATAACTTTATTCTCAGGCAACAGTTGCATCTTTTCCTTGGCCAGCTCCTTTTCCACTTTTCAATTCTTGTCTTGAACGACCATCTTTATTTTAGGCAATAATGTCCTGTGGGGCATGGTATCAAATGCTTGTCTTTAGATAAACTACATTCCTGCCTTACCCCACCTAAATAAACTGCTATACAAAAAAGACATTAGATTAGTTTAGCACAATCCACCCTTGATAAAATCTTGTTGTAATTTAGCCTGCTTCCTCATTATTTCCACGTCTAATTATTCTTTCCTACGAAATACGTCATGAGATGCTGGGTACTATTGCATTCAAACCTGCCAGTCTATAGTTCCTGCATTGTTTTTTTATTTTTGACTGTATAGGGAGTCCAGGTATAGAACACAAATGTTTGCCCTCTTTTGCACCTGAAGAGCCATGGGAGAATCTTTTTGCAAGCCATCCAAGCCCTGCGCCACTGCTTTCAGTATTCCAGGACTGAGATTATTGGTACTTCTTCATTTGTCTCACTAAGATATTTAAGTTTTGCCTGTTTTTTTTTTAAACTTTGCTATGAATAGTTTTCAGTTGCCTTCAGATTTGTTAGTAATTACACTCTGTTCCAGATTCTGCAGAAGGTTCTGCTTTCATGAGAAAGTTGTGTCATTATTTAGAGACATCAGTTCTCCTTTCAGTTTAGACACATCTAATTTCGGTTCTGTGCAAATTGACTAAGTGCAGGTTTTGGTTGAACTCAAATAAGCTAATTCAAACCAAAATAAGAATATCCTTATGTGAGGTCACATCAGGTTAATCAAATCACTTTAAAAACAGACTTAAACTAAATTGGTGTAATCTCTCCATGTAGACAAGGCCAAAGCCAATAAAGGAATATGAAGTAGGTAAAAGTCTCTCATTAATTGCACACACATCTGCAGTTTGACTGAATCTGGTGGTTCTGAAGCTGGGCAGATGTGCAGCCAGCAAGCCCAGTGTGCTTGTCAGGGCCTGCCACCACATCAACCTCGCTTAAACCTGGGCTTAAGTGAGGCTGGAGTAACCATAATTAGGGTCTCCCAGGACTTCTGCCTGGGGGCATTGCTCCTTCAGCATACAGGCCACAGGGCAAGTCGTGCTGTGCTATACAGTCCTGTGGGCACCAAAAGTAGCAGAGAAACCAGGAAAAAAGAGAAATGGCCTTAGCCTGGGTGGCAGAATGGGGCAGACCCAGCAAAGCTGCAGCCAGGCGAGTCGTGCCACCGCGGTTGTGCCGATGGGTGCAGAGTCGCTGTTGCAGCGGGACAACGTGTGGCACATGGAGCAGAGCACGGCCCCCAGCGAGCCAGGATTCATGGGAGAGAAGGGGCTCACCCAGGTCCTAACAAATGAATACAGTTGCTTTACCTGCCTGACTTCCCTAATACAGATTTGGAACTGAACCGGGTAGAGAGCTCTGTAATTTCAATAGTACCAGAAAAGACTGGTTCATACTATTTTGGGTTTTATAGGTTTTACTATTTTGGTTAAAGCCATATTAGTCCACTAGGATCCATAACTGTCCCAGTATAAGCCTGAATTCAGTTCTTGTGGTATAGGCACACAGCTTATTCCTCCAATCTTGAAGGAATGAGCTATGCTGGCATTAAAACCTTTGTACCATTACATGTGAATCCTGGGAGGTTGCGTAATTTAGGGCAAAACAATGCAACTTCTGTGCATAGACAAGCCCTGGCTCCAAACTGTAAAGACATCCTACCAATTTTTTGATATTACTAATGAGCAGAAATTGTATTCAACATCAGTATCTCTGCGCTGTAATGTTCCTTCCTCCATCATGAGACTTTAATTATGAACTACTCATTTGCTAATTTTAATCTTTAACCCTGAGCTATTTTTGTGTACTTGATGTGTGCCATAAACCAACAAAATAATTTAATACAGACATAGTCTCAGCGGCTAAAACCGGGAACATATATCATATATCTTACTGAAGTGTGCAGTTTATAAAAAAAAGTCGAACCAATTTTACTTTTCCCTCTAAATCAAGTAACTGTAATCCACAGCTTGGAATGAACAGAACAAATGAGCAGCAAGCAACCGCTCCTAAAGCCATTTGCATTTTTCCTATTACATCTTCCAGAAGAATTCTAAAGATTCAGTAGTAAACATGTTTAGCCCAAGAGATACGAATGCCTCCCTTGCACACAAACTTCCACTTTTGCCTTACTCTGGAGCCTCCTCTCCTCATTAGTGGCTGCTGCATTTGTCAGGGCTCCGTCAGCCGCAGAGCCCCCGCGTGCTGTTGTTACGGTGCATCAGTGCACGGGGCTCTGTTCTTCCCCAGTGCAGCACTGACACGCTGGCTTACTCTGATTAGCACATTACAGGAAAACGATTACTTTTTTTTTTTTTTTTAAATACCGTTTCTAAAAAAAACAAAAAACCAAATGTATTTCTTCTGACTGGATAACTGTGGTAGAGGCATTGCAGCACAGGAAGTTTATAAAAATTACACAAATTCCCAGCTGAAACAGCACATGTTGTCAGATACCCAGTACCAGGGCTTCACACTGTGTACTCCTGAAATTATCTGCTGCTTCATACAACATCCGTAGGACCTGTGATGACTGTAAAGCCTACATATCAAACCCATGAAGCTGTCTCTTTAAGGCAAATTCCCATTTCCAGATTTTTAGCCAGCAGTGATCCAGCAAAATAAGGACAGAGGAGCACCAATATTCTGCTCAAAAATGAAGCAACTCCTAACATTTTCTCATGTCTACACCAGAACATCTCATCCCATCAGCAAAACCAGCACCACTGCTTTCACTGCACACAACAAAATAAACTTCAGCTAATAAATAACCCTGCCCTCCCAGGTGATCCTGCACCCTCCCAGGTGGGTACGACATGGGGCATTTTAAGAGCTTTGATTTCAGGGACATTATCTCTGGGCCACTTTACAGCTGAAGAAGATAACTTCATTCAGGAATCAGGGGTACTTGGCACTTAGGTGTCCCAAAAGGGACTGATGTGCTGGACTTCTCCAAAATCCACCGAGGAGAGACCTGTTCTGCCATGGCTCAGGAGCCTCCTGCCTTCGGGGATTGTGGCACTTTACAAAGGACAACAGCTCTCCAAAGCGCGTGTGACACCTCACTGATGAGTCACACAGGGCTCAGCTCCGACCTGTGCTTCCAGTGTGAGCTACCCAGAGCAATCAGTTCACAATTTCTGCCACTAAGGACCAAGGCTTGGAGTTATCATTCACAAATCCACGGCTGAAACATATGAGGGACTTTCAAAGCCTTCATGATTCCCCGTTTATAATGTAAACATGCTATAAAATCAAACAACACAATAACCCTTGCTGGAGGAGTAACTTTTCAACCTGGATCTCAAATGCTATCTTTAGGCGCAAAACTCATTTCGGAGGTTTTTCCCCGCACTGTTTTCAGCAAAACACATTCCCTCAGCGACGAAACTTGCAGACTCCGATCAGACCCATTTCAGACTCCCGAAAATCGGTTTGCTCCAACCCCAGATCCCCGCAGCTCTCAGCTGCGCTCAGCCCATGGCTATTCCCGAGCCTCTCCGTGCCCGGGGGTCCGCGGCCGCTGCGGGACGGGGATGTCGGTGCCCGGCCTCGAGATGTGCCGCGCTCCAGCATCCCCACCCCGGAGCCCCCCTTCCCGCCTGCCCTCTACAGCCAGAGACCCCAGGCAACCAGCCCTGCGTCCCGTGCCCGTCCTGCCGGTACACGTTTTTTTTTAGGGGGAAATCAGAGGACTTAAGTTGCGGCTGCCAATTTTCCTCTACAGAACTTACCTGGGACGGTCCTGGCAGCGTCGGACGAGGGCAGGCAGGGCGGACCGGCGGGTGCCGCGCACCGGACCCGCAGCTCTTCCCGGGCTCCCCTCGCTCCCCGCGGGCTGCAAGTGCGGGGACCCCCCCGCACCCCTCACGCCGTCAGGGTCCGTACGTACCGTCTAGGAGGATGCGCGTCCCGGAGCCACTCTCAGTGCCATGCCCAGCCCCGGCGCGGTGCCCCCTCGGCGGCAGGGGTTACCGCTGGCCGCGGGGTCCCGCAGCCCGGCGGTGACATGGCATGGGCGCGGGCAGGGCGGGGGCAGTGCGGGCGGTGCGCGGCGCGGGGGTGTGCGCAGGGTGGGCGCGGGCTGCGGGGCGGCCGCGGCGGGACTTGTGAAACTCGCCTGTCGCGGCGGCCGGTTGTGTAACGCGGCGGGCTGGGCCCGGCCCCCCGGCACTGCACAGGCGCGCTGCTCCCCCGCCCCGCCGACACCGGCACCGGCACCCGCCGCACCGGCACCCGCGGCGGGGAGAGCGCGGGGCGGAGCGCCCGGGGGAGCGGCCCGGGGGGAGCGGCCGGAGCGGCGCGCACCTCCTTGGGCGCGGGGCCGGGCAGGTGGCGCGGGGAGCGGCTGTGCCGTGCGCCGGGAGGAGCCGGCGGAAAGTAGGTCACCGCCGCCGGTCCGCGGGCACCGGCCGCGGGGTGGCCTCGGCCGCGGAGCCCGGCCGGGACCGGCCCTTCCTCGCCCCCTGCCCGGCTCTTACTGCGCGGAGCGGAGCGAGGCCCGGCCCCCGCTGCCCGCCGGGTCCCGCAGCCGTTCTGCGCTCCCCGCGCGGCACCGATTCCCTGCGCGGCACGAGCTGTGCCCTGACGGGATTAGTCATCCCGTACCGTGACTCACCCATTTAACATTTGCTGCTTCCTTCCTCATAGATTTTTTTTTTTTTAATTCCCTTTCTCCATTGTAACTATTTTCCCTTCTCTCCAAGGACATCGGGCTTCTCCTTCTCCCCTTCCGCGACTACAGCCGTGCCCAGCTGCGGGCGCGGAGCTGCGGGTCCCGCCGGCGCTGCCGCGGGGCCGCCGGAGACTCGGGCTGGGACTGCTTCTCACTCGTGACATGGGCTCCTGCCTATCTCCCGGGTTTGGTCCATGCTCCTTTTTGTATCTGGAAGCAGTAGGCACTAAAGCTGGGGCATCAAGCCTAGTCTGCAGCCCCCTCCTCTCTCTTCTCAAGGCATTGCCGGGAGGGCACCGGCGCTGCGGTGGGAAGAGCCTGAGTCATGCCACAGAGCGACCTGGGCGAACATCGCTGGGTCCCTGACCCCGGCCTCGGGCAAGCAAGCAGCTGCATCATGTAATCCCCTTCCAAAACTGAGTGCACTCTCTTACCAACAAATTAGATTTTTGTGCGTGTGTGGTTTGGTTTTTTTTTTCCTTCCCTTCAGCTCTTTTCGGAAAGCTGCTCCTCATCCTATGCAATGCTGGGAGATTGCTCCCTCTGGGAGCACGTTATTGCCCACTAGCCCTTTCCCACAGCTGGCATCCTCATCCCTGGCTTTCTTTGCTCAGCCAAATTTCCTGTTCCTCTCCCAGCCCTCAGTTCTGCTGGAAGGGGGCAGGCAGGCAGATAGGCAGGCAGGGAGCCTGCGTGTCCCCTTCCCCACATGTGCCCCAAAGCACAGCACAGAAGACAAAAGCAGAACCAAAAAGGGGACAGTGGACAAAACACTTTACTGTGAGTTTTTTAATATAAACCTGATGCCAGTGAGGAAAGGGAAGTGACGTTGTTACAGTAATAAGCCTGAGGAGTATCAGCTGCTATTGATGAGGACAAGAGAAAGGGCACCTTTGCATGCAGTTAATATTTCTTACTTACTTTCTTATTGGAGGCAAAGCTAATAGCTTGGCTGTGCTGCCTGCCACAAGTGGCCAATCTCTTTTTCCCACTTAGAGTGCTTTTTTGAGTCATGCAGTCTCGTCACACCAAACGCAGCAACCCTTTCCTCGTTCATGTGGGGAAAAATCCTTCTTGCTCCCTTTCAGGCAAGATATAAACAGGTATCAAGCGCAGAGTTTCTCTCCACTTTTACTTGACTTAAGCTGTGTCTCTGCAGCCTGCAGTGCAGCCCTGTCACTCCAGTGACCATCACTGAGGGGATGCCATTGTCCCCCTACATGGGCATGGAGATACACATTTGGGGAAGTAGATTGGGAATAATGAAAACACTGCACTCTGCAACTGAGGCACTTACAACTTAAGCACCCACACATCGATGCTGTGGGCAGTGCAGGGAAGCAGGATATGGCCCCAAAGGGGCTGCACCAGGTTTCCCCTCAAGGTACAACTGCCATAGCCATTGCCCTGAGTTGTGCCGGCAGCTGGCCAGGTGTGCTTGCACTGCTGGGACACTTCCATGGCCACCCCCATCCTTCAAACCTGGCCAGCACAGCAGACAGCATCTACACTCTCTTCTAATAAAGCAAACCACTGGGAAATACCACTTCATCTGATAATTGCAAAAATATTATCTTCTGACCAGAAATCGTGTTTTCTTGGAAGTGTTTCAACCAACTCCCCTGCAGGCCCTGGCATCTAGAGCCATCAGGCTGGGCAGACACAGGGCCCCCTCCTCCTACAGCAATGGTGAAGGAGTTTTCATGTCAATTACTTTAATTATCTCATCTAGAATAACACACTTTCCTCCAAGATCTTTCCAAAAGCTAAAACAGAATGGGGAAACAGACATTTCTGCCACAGCAAAATTCACACACTGCTCAGCAAGTTGCAGCACTGGGCAGCTTTGGCTCTGCTCAGTGATTGTTGGCATAGCCTCAAATTTGTTTATATTGTTAGTTTTTAACAATGCTGCATTGCAAAGACATGCCAGCAGCAATAAAACCAAGAGAGAGCTGGTTTTGGCTGGAAAATTAGAACAAAGAATATACATATATATATATATTCTTTGTTGTTCTTATATATATTCTTATATATTTTATTATATATGTTCTTGTGTGTGTATATACGTATATATACATATATGAACATATATATATAAAACCCAGCCTGTCCCTGCTGCGTAGGCGAATCCTGCAGCCTGGCAGACACCATTAAGCACTAATACAATTAAATGATGAACTAGAGGGATAACTTCAGCTGTATTTTGGAAGATCACACTCCCATTCACAATCTCATCCGGAGCTTTTGAATTACAAACTGCAAAAATTCCTACCCAGGAAATGCTTGCATTGCCCAGCGCCAAGTCGAGAACCATCTCCTAATTCAGGATCGGGCAGCTCACCCTCATTTCACTCCAAAGCGTGCCCAGAAATTCAACATGAATTCAACTCCCTTTTCACAGAGCAGTGAGGCTGGGGTAATACAAACTAAAAGGAAAGAGAATAATAGAGACTACAAAGTGGAAAAAAACACCCTTGCCTTGCTCCGAGGTGGCTGGTTGTGCGCGGGCCTCGCTGTGGCTCCGGGATGCGGCAGTGAGCGGAGAGCTGGAGCGGCAGAGCCCACCCAGCGCTTGCCATGGGAGCGCACGGGCGAGGCCAGAGGGAACCCAGCTCTACCCAAGGCAGGGACACAGCGTTAATTGTGTCAGTGCTATTGCACAACACTGTTGCCTTGACACTGTGTCATGTAAAGATTTTAAACTGCCTCTTTATTAGTCATCCTCTATTCATTTTAATTGTGCCTGATAAGCAGGGCCATTTCACCTTTGTGTTCTCTGTACGTACTTATCGTGCGTATTTGTGTCACCCCAGAGACTTTCAATCTCTTCCTGTAGTGCTGGTAGATGCAGAGGAATGAAGTGCCATTGCCATCAAAGCCTGCTGGGGTTCTCACCTGTTTGCTTGTTAGTTTTTCAGACCCCTGCTCTCGCATTGTGGACATCTCCACAGGTCCTTGCTCCTAGCACTGAAAATGTTCAGGCAGAGGCTTAGATTAATTGCATGGGAACCAGTAAGAAGGGATTGGCTGATTGAAACATGCATTTAATTTTTTTCAGGATCAAGTACTGTAGGTGTGTGCTTAACACCACAGGACTCACTTTGATCTTCTCCAAGGACAGAACTTTCTGTGGATTAAATTCTTGCCTCTGAATTATGGTATTGGTTATTTAACAAAATCAAAGCTGGGGCATGAATAACTAACTACTGGATTTAATATAAAGAATATAGTGAAAGTTTGTGGAATATTTTAGTCTCATTTACTTGCAACATAAAAATATACTGCCCAAGAGTTTGCCCGTGTGAACTCTGTCCCTGCAATTCCTTATCTAGCCTTATCTTTGTGAGGTCTGAACTTTCACTGAAAACTCCTGGAAATAGCAGTGCATTTTCCTTTCCGTGGTATGGTGACCTTTTCCTCATCCCAAACATCAATTGCACTTGTGGTGGGGAGAAGGAAGGGCACTTGGGTCAGGCACAACGCTGCCACCTGTAAGCACAGCACAGCCAGGTGACGCAGCAGCTTCCCCGGCAGCCAGAGCACTGCTGGCACTGCTGCTGTGCTGCTGGGACTGTTTGCTTAGAGCTCACGTCTCTGCTTCAGGCAACACCCAACAATTAGGAGCCCTTTTCCATCTGGAGATGTATTGGGGCTTATTTAGTTTCACCTTAATTTTCCCCATTTAAAAAGACTCAAAAGTAGAATTCAGGTTCGCGCCACAGTCACGTGAGGAGATGGGTAAAATCCCATTCTCGTTTAAGTTCAGAAAAAGGAACGGAAACTCCATTAAAAGCAGAGCAAAAACCACATTTACTCCACTGTGAACAGGATTTCCCCCTTAACACAAAATCTTGCATTCCAGTGGGCTAGAAGGAGCTACTTACTCTCCCACCCAGCATCTTCGAGGGCCACTTGGAATCTTTATGCAACTGCTTTAAAGGATTAGGAACATATATGAGTTAATCACCATTTAGGACAAAATTCCACCTAAGCCTTTGAGAACCAGCTAGAATATTTGCATTTCCATCAACCAGCACCTTATTTTGTATAAAATAAATGGTTTAAATGGTTCTTAGAGAAGCAAGAGTGGTATCCAAACTTTGGGTGTGTTTAAGGCCCTGTATTTCCTTGTGCGGGAGTAATACCATGGCCAGATAAATGAATGTATTTATTTGAAAACCTGAGAGGTGCCCAAGTCAGATTTTTGGCCTGGAAAATGATTAAAGAATACTTTTAATGTGGCTGATCATACTCCCAATGATAATTATTATTTTTGTAATAGAAAAAGCGTTCTCTCAACTGCAGTACAATATTTTCTGATAAGTATGCTTGTGATCTGTTATTCTACCTAACTCAAACAAGGGAGGGGGGAAAACTTGCACAAACAAGAGCATGTCTGCCGCCTTCTGCCCACATCCTTTCATGAGAGCATACAAGCTAAAGCTAAAGCTCTTTGACCACATTTTAACTTGATCCCCTAGGATAACGTACCTAGAAATTAATTTTCTTTGATGCTGGGTTCATATCTTCTGGAGGCTGTGCTGAAGACAAATTCAGGCTGCTGCATTTAAATATGGGTTAAGTCACCTCTGATTAGTATAATCAGCTACTGAGGGGCCTCTTGAACGGGGATATAAAATAGAAACTTAATAATAATTATGCTAAAGGCCCAAATCCCCCTGAATTCAGCAGGCAGAGGACAAATGGCAGAGGGAGCATTAGGCAACAGCAACAGCTGTAGTAGTGCCCATGGGTGAAGCGCAGAGGAAGAACAGACAAGTCAGTACAGAATTACTGTCCCTCATCTGCAGGTGCATCCTTCCTAGTAAATCACAGTGGTTACCACTTAGCACATTAAATCCACGTTGATAAACATGGATATTTCCTATTAATACTTATGCTGATGCTAAGCTTTATTCATACAAGATGGTAATGCTTCAAAGCTTCTCTCTACTACTTGTCCATTCTGAGTTATTCTATACCCAGCAGTCGGGAATTGTGAAGGTCAAATGTTCCTTGCACTGAAAGTTTCCACTTCTCCTCTTGGGCCTTTACCCAATGGTAACATCACCTTATGGAGTTTTCAACATCCCGAGTTAGAGCAGCAATGACTGACTCCTGAACAAGACCCAGTGAGCTCCTGACAAAACACGGCAGAGGGAAAGCTGTCCTTGTCACCTGAACTTCCTACTATAACCCAGGGTGTGACCAGACCCCCAGGTTGGACATTTGGGTGACAAAGAACACACAGGTTGGGAAGGCTGTGCTGGGACAGGAGCTGCCTCCATCCATACTTTCCCATCTACTCCCACCTACTGCCACTCACCTCCACTGTTCTGCCTGGACTGGGCTGCAGCCAGAGGGCTCCCAACTACATCCTAATCTCCGTCCAAAATTGGGTAACAGGGTTGGAGAGTGGCATTTGGATGGCTGTGACTTGC